ACCTTTTGTTTACTCATCAGACTAGCAGCTTTTGTCGGCCCAGTCCTCATCATTGTGAGATTTAAATTTGTTTGAAGTTGGATTAAAAAACTAACAGACGTACAACAATATATATTTTCTCACATTATTTGTATCTTCTGTAATTTACAAAAAAAAGCTGATTACAAACTGCAAAGTACACCTGCGCTATGTTTAACCATCTCCGGCCGTGTACGGGCCTAGTCCTACCAGAGGTGCCTCGCGGCCATGCGTTAAGTGGGTACGTGTGGTAAGCACGACGACATTCCCACGCCATATTCGGGTCTTCTCAACTTGAGAAGTGAATTTTTTCATCGTCACACAGCAACATATGCTGGGACATTGCAAGAAAAACTCGCACTATAATCTTGCCTGACCGGAAATCGAACCCGGTGTTGCGTTATGGAGGAGCACGCTGACTAACAAGGTCAATTGGGTCAATTGGATCCGCTAGGTCAATTGGATATTACCTTATTTAAAAATATAATTCTTAGCACATTTCATTAAAAAAATAAATGCGACATTTTGCCGGTTTGGTTTGCAACTCAATATACACTTATGTTTGACAGGTAGTGTTCAGACGCACACAAATATATTTCATATACTTACTAATCCTGCTTTCTAATCAGGAATAAATGTCATAAATGCAACTGCGTGATATTTAATTTGTCATCACATTTTAATTGGCAAGAACTGATCATCGTCGACCCCCAACATGCCCGAGAAGTTTGTAAAATTCAGTCAGAGACACCTGTAGATCAGTGGATGGAAGGGATAGATGAATGGACAGATAGCTGGATTAAAACAAAATACATGGATGTGATGTGAGCGGGAAAGGGCTATAAACGCAAAATACACAATGCAAATGAAGTTTATTACAACCAGCTGCCGAATTGTACCGTTACTAGCCAAATTACAAATAACCAGAAAACGTTCCGAATGTAGCCGGGTCGGGACTGAAATGCAGCGAGAAGGTACCAGATAACTGAGCAAGGGTCAAAACACTATCGCACTACACACACTATTCCCGTCCTCCGTAAACAAGCGCCAGTTCTCAAGTGAAGCGGAGGCCCGGCCGGCCATCGCCCGGCACCCCGCGCGGGGGAGGGGGGAGAGGAGGAGGAGGGGGGCGCGCGCCACCCCTCCGTCGCAGACCCTGCCGCCGCTCCGGCGCCGCCTGGGCGCTCCGTGTCCCGCGGGGACGTGGCGCCGCCGAGGGTAAAACGGGCAGTGGGCGCAACTGTAGCTCAAGGCTCTCACAGACCGGCGCGGGAGATCCGCAGCGGGTGCGACCCGGAATGGTCCGCGCTAGACGTGTCGACGAAAACAGCGAGACCGTTCACACCGGAGCGTCAAATATGACTCAGCGTTTGATGACGGTTTTCCTCATCCGATAAAAAAAGGCAATGGAGCTCGAACCAGAGGGGAGCGAAGACTCCTGAAGGCGGACAGAATTCCACGAAACTCGAGCGACAGCGGTCGAAACGCAACAGACTGCGTGAGTTTCAAAATCTGTAGGTAATAAACCGCTGCCAATCCGCTGCCGCGACGCTCGCCTGCCGCCCAGCTCTGAACGTGCTCATAAGGCAACACGTGACGCGAAATTCCCGCTGCGTCCATTCCGCGAATGCTGCGGATGTCCCGCGCCGGCCTTTAACCGCCTTTAGAGCCTTTAACCGCCACTGCGGAATAGATGGAATGAAAAACATGCATGGACGGATGGATGGAAGAATGGGTTGAATGGAATGTAATGGGTTGGATAGGTGCAATGCGCCACTGGTTGATCTTTTGCAGGCCGTCCGGTGGGCCGCGGGTGGGGCTGCGAACCAGAGTCTGCCGTGCTCCTCGCGACTGCCGAGGAACCGCCTCTTGGCCAGCGGAAACCAGCAGGGTCTCGCAGGGGTCTGCAACAGGTGAGAAAATGGACGCGGATACTCGATCTGTGGGTTCGCATCCCACGTAAAGCGTGGATGTTTAGGTTTACATTTATTCGGTAAAAAAAGGAAACATAACTGTATGTGACGTAGGGGGGAAAAGATTATATGCGCACGTTTTCTTGAGTTCCAGAATCCCTTCCTGTCATTTTAACTATAAATAGTTGAAAGATAAAAAAAACTTTAACATAAGTAAATAACAATAAATTTTAAAAATAGCAAGATTACCAATATTAGAAAAATAATTATTTTCGTTTCTGAGTTATAGAAAACTCTTTGCATTGGTAAACGAATTGAAAGTATGATTTTTCTGCATTGCTAACAAAATAGCAACTCGCCCTTACCTCTACTCTTACCATTACAAGCAAAAGGAGAGTTCAACAAAACGTGCGCATAGTGAAGCTACATTTTACGTTCAGAACCAAAACAAGGGGCCATCTCAGCATTTGCTCAATGGATCAGGGAAACTGGACAAAAACCTGATCGAGGTGGGGGGTCATTGACCCTGAAGATAAAGTACATTATTTGTAACAAACATAAGAAATTAAAAAAAAATACAATACAAATGTAAACAACTGTTTTCAGACGTGTTTGTAACACGGTGGCCATTCCCAGTCCCTCGAGTATTTTTTCTAAACTTATTTTTTTCCTAATCCCCTGCCCTCACTGTATCGAATGTGCTGTGGAAGATCATGAACGACCTGAAGACCTGGCTCTTTAATCCTTAAAAAGAAACGAGCACTGAGGTGGGTCTACAAGCTACTTGGAGAAATTGTAAGTATCAACAATGCCAGTAAGTGCCAAAAATGGAATTTCGAGACAATTAAGAAAAACCGTTTCAAAAGCGCGCGGGACATGACAGGTGCACAGTCTTGTAGCGACAATTTGAACCCCTATGAATGAAAATTTCAGATTACTCATTTTACCCCGCACTGTGCTTGACACTTAACATGCTTTATAGCACAAAATGCAAATTTTACATTTTGGCACTTAGTCCGGGTTTCATTTATGCTACATTCAGATGCAAGCGTTCTGTCAATGTTTATCGCTTCCAGTACGAAGGTATAGATGATCTCGTGACTAAAGATCAAAGGAGAAATGCCAATAGATAACATAAATGATTTTGTGACCAATGACCAAAGAGGGATTGCTTAAATTTTGATTTCGTTAGATTGTTTACGATTTTGATAAATTAATATATAACTAATAATATGCAGGTGCATTAACTTAAAAATAATGTACAGTTTCTGGCCCTACAAATAAAAAAATGTACTGTTTTGCATCAATATTTGAATTTAATTACATTACACTTTAATGTGAAAAGGGGGGTCAATGTATTTCCATAATCTGTATTAAATTATGAAGTAAATTATTTTATACGAAGAATTAAAATACTACAAATGTTTTCGAAAAGTCTTCAATGTTCCAATACGTAGTACAGAATTTTTCCCCCATTGAAAAAGGCGCTGTAATAACACAAATTATAACCAACACTTGCGGTAACGTGCATCGCATTTTTAACAAAATGCGCCTCAGAAACAATATAAAATATTCAAAACCTTCAAAAATAAACAAATCATTGATGGGCATTTGAGGCACCTCCTCCCGCTAATACTCGGTTTATAGGTGTAGATTTTGGTGTGAGTGTTATTTGCATGCGCTTACGTTGTACGCCGGTCTGGCCCAGATGTAAATGTAAAATCTACCTTCTCTTTTTGCAATTTGTTCATAGATGAAGCATTCAAGCGTAAGAGATGGCTTCTGATATTTCGAGAAATTAAGATAATTGACTTAATATATCTTTTTTATGAATGAGATGCTAAGGCTCTCTTTGCGTCCCATTAGCTTTCGAATTAAGAAAAATTACAATAAAAATACATTAATACTATATGTACATACCACTTCGTGTAGTTAATGAGAAGACTACACTTTCCTGCGTAACGTTAGTTGTCATTGTTTGCGCCCGAAATAAATTGTAATAATTTAAATGCATAGGTATTTATGTTGTGAGGCGGAAGAGAAGGCCTTATGGCCTGAGCCAGAATGAAATTCGACACCAGGTAGTTGGCTGGGTCGAATTCAACCGCTGTCTCGAGGAGAACTATGGTGGCCGGCTGCCGTGATCGGTTGTTTTCCGTGGTTTCTGCCGTCAACACCAGGCGAATGCCAGAGCAGTACCTTAAAAAACGGGCCAAGTACCACGTGCTATCTTTCCTTCCTCTTCCTTGTGCTATCCTTACCCCTTACTTACGCACACTCATATGCACTACATTATCGCTCTTATCGGGAGCTTAGAGCTCGCCCCGGCTGGGCGGTGCCCCGCTGATGGGAGATAACGGGAAGGGGAAAACTCCTGCAAGCGGACGGAGTTCCCCGAAGAGATGATTCAGGGCATCAAGAGATGTCACTGCAGTCCCTCTGATCGGGAGGTCCTAAGTTCGAGTCCCGACGGTGGCACGATTTTCGATACTAGCTTGTCAGCTAGGTCAGTTCAGTCGCTGTCTGGAGGAGAATTCTTGCGGCCGGCTGCTCGGATCTGTAGTTTTCCGCGGTTTCTCCGATCAACTTCAGACGAATGCCGGAGCAGTACCCTAACAACATACGCGCGATCTTTCCTTCCGCTTCCTTGTCCTATCCTCATCCCTTATGCACACTTACACTAACATTCACGGTCGGGAGCATAGCGCTTGTCCCGGCTGGGGTCGTGCCCCGCGATCGGGAGATACCCGGTGGGGAAATCCGTTAGCCGACGGTAAGTCAGCGCAGGATCTCATCATCTAGCGGTGGAAGAACAGCGCCACTTCCCACAATGAAAAGTGCACGACACTTACCTAATGACCTTGGCAGTTGACGCGCCCGGAATCACGAATCAATCAATCAACCGGCGCGACGTAGGTCGGCGCTGGTTCTCGCCATCCAGCGGACCAAGATCACCGTCACCTCCTGCGTTGAAAAATGCGCCCCACTTACGGGCCTAATGGCCTTAGTATTTGACGATGAGTTGCGTGTTGCAGGATGCCGAGCCGCGTGGAGGCCGGCGCGCTGCTCATGCAGTGCCCCGTGTGCCACACGACCGGCGCGTGCTTCCCGCGCCGCGACCACTACGAGGGCTTCTGCGTGAACCGCGACTGCGAGTACTTCCGCTGCCTGGTGCTGACGCGGCGCCCGCACGAAATCCGCTTCTTCGAGCCGCGCCGGCCGCCGCGCCGCCTGGCGCGCAAGTACTTCTGCGTGGAGTGCGGCGCCTTCTCCTACGTGTGGGCGCGCCCCTACACCAAATGCGTGATGCGCGGCGATGGCCTGCCCTGTCGCTTCACGCACTGACGCGCACACGGCGCAGCCCGGGCGAGCGGCGCCCACTGTACCATATGTGCCACCTCACCAACTGCACCAAAGTCACCCGCACCGCCCGAGCAAATGGCGTCCCTATATGAAATATCCTCCCGCACCAACGGCACTGCCTGGACGACATTCCAATTGTACCACCTCACCTACAGCACCAACTTCAACGACACTGCCCGCCCGCTTGAACGGCATCCACCATACCAAATATACCACCCGCACCAAGTGCATTCACCGCACCACCTGAGCGAACATCATCTCCATATGAATGTCCATATGTCCATCCGCACCAACTACAATGACCTCCCTAACTTCAATAGCATCACTCTTCAATAGCACCATGCATTCCAGTAGCAACGAATCAATTCGCATCAACTGCATCATTCGAACGAACTAAATCGTTTGCATCAACTACACCGCCCGCACCGGCACCTCCACCAACCTACACCAACTCCGCCACCTCCTGTATCCCACCGTAGACGCTCCTGAATTTCCAGAGGATCCCTTGGAAAGTAGAATTTGTGTAGCAACACCCAGACACTCTGTTTTGCCTGATTTGCGTGGAAGTGTGCTTTGAAACTTCGAACTGTGAAAGCAGTGAGAACCAATTGCGCTACCCAAGTTTTCCTGCTGAAATCGATTTTTTATATTGAGCAACTCAAGAGAGCATCCCGACGGTGTCTACTATGAAGAAAGGACATCAATCTCTAGTAGATCAATGTCGCGTTTCAATTATCCTTATCAGAACTTGTGCGGCATTGCTAATCTTAGCAAATCTTCATTTATCAAAGAGCTTATCAGAATGCATGTAGAATTGCAACTATGTGCTTACACCACAAAGTCACTCCATGTCGGTCAATACGAATACAGGTTTCTCCTGTTGCAGAACATAGAGACTGAATTGCTAAAGCATCAGGAAAACAGGAATGCGCAAATATAAGACATTATTTTTCCGCTCCAGCCGTGAAATCCAAATCCATAGCCTACACTGATTTTCACGTTGTGAATGCACAATAATTTTTTTGTATTCCAGCATTATAAAATAACTTTTTCTGTTGCAAGGAAAAAACGTTCATAATCGGGCATTTGCGGCACAAATGATAACGTATTAGATTTTATGTCACGAATGATTGAGTCATCACACATTCAGTCAATTGTAGCGAGAGAATCGGGGGGAGGTAGAGCTAAACGGAACAGCCGACCACCGCTTACTCGCACGATATCAAATACCCGAGTCGTTACAGGGAAGTTGTTTCGCAAAATTAAGTTTGATTCTCTTATAAATGTGTAATGTGTATACAAAAAAATATAGTATGCAACTTGTTTAGAATGTTGCTTTATTACATTTGTACAAATTTGAAAACTCGCTCCTAATGTCGCTCGTTTTCAAAACATGTACTCATGCAATAAAGCTTAACATTGTAAACTAATTGCATAAACTACTATTATGGAGAATCCGCGCGCCGTTGCCGCCACGCCACGTTCGCCTGCCCGCTCGCTCCAGAATCGCCAAAATCACGGCTACCTTTCTCAATATATGTTATGCAAAATTCATTCAAAAGATTGACTTCATTTTTGGGAGTTTTCCTTTTACGTTCTCGAGTAATTTGAAGCCATTTTTTACCAATTTTAATTATTTCACACGTTTCCTCTGCATTCTATTTTCATCTCTTAAAATTGACCCACTAAACGACTGACTAAATTTCGTACCTACTTTCCTTTATCACTCCACATCCACCACCTTCACTCACATCCACCGAGAAAACATCGACTGACCAGAATATCCAGCAAGACGAAATTCTCGAAAAGGGTTCTTGTGAACGGTCGAGTATTGATTTGGTTGGTCTTTTAGCTAATGACGTTATATAAACAAACACTTCCTTTCGTCCCTACGGGTCACTCATCCTGCCTCTGTGCCTTGTCTTTTCGTCGTGCCTCCCACGAGCCTCACGTCCGCGCGTCTCGACTTCTAAACAAACATCAAATACACAGAAGTGATGCATCTGAAGACCTTCCGATGATGATGGAAAATAATTTAATCATTTTACCCGAAACTTTGTCGCTGAAAGCTTTTAATTGGACTTAAAAAACGAAAATATCTCAGTGACGATATATTTTTAATTTTTTAAATATTGATAAAATAAAAGCATTTCTGCCCGCTGAAGTAACGGAAAAATGTACAATTAAAAAAAATAATTGCACCAATTTTTGGATATGTTTGAATAAAAAGATGTCTAAAAAGCCCGCAGAAGTCTAGCGTTATTTTATTTATTTTATTTAAAAAGCAAATAAATGACACATTTTTTTATGATTTCCATCTTGTTCCTCCTTATTTTCTCTACAGAACTGTTTTTTCTACTTACACTTGCAACAATAGATTTGGCAACAATGCATGAGATTCTTCCATTACAATAACATTGTCCATACGAGCCCATTGTGCCTTTACTACGTGAAAATGAATATAGTCAGTCGGCGTTGAACCAGTTATCTGGATCATGTTGCTGCTATCCGGAATGTCTATCAGGTCACATCTGTTGACGATATTCCAGAGATCCTGTTCCAAACACTCCCTGACCCACTCACCACAATGTTATGGCGATGTGTCCCGTTCATCAGTGGGGAACTACTGTTCTCCCCGTCGCCACCGGCGCATCGTCATGAGTCAGCTTCCCGCGCGTTGAGGCGGTGCCGCTCCATTCGACCACCAACGCTCCTCTCTGCTCTCTTCACCTTAGTTGGGAACCTGAAAAAAGTGACGAACCCCATTGGTTCGTGTGGCGTATTTAACGACAATATGCAACCCTTTACGCCTTTAAGCCTTTACGTACAATGCGCATAATTTGGTGTTCGGGTAAAGGGAGTTAAGTTACTTTTTTGTTGTATTTGTTATTTAGTTTAAAGAGTTATTTATGACCAAATCTATAATACATGCCAAAAATCGACTATTAAAATGTAACGAATTTAATGTTTTCCTAAGTCTCCTAATATCTACCAGAGTAAATATCACGATTTTCGGGACGTTGGGTTACCAAAATACTATGACGCAAAATAAATTTTAGATGAAATAAGCAACCCAGGGTCTGTGCAACGTATAATTTGCATCGATTTTTATGCCAACAAGGAGTAAAAAAAATTTGGCCGCTAAAAATCGATTTCAGGACCACAGAAACATTGATGCTACATTGTGACCCACTGCTCTATTTCACAACTTATTCAATGTCGTCTTGAAAATTTATCATCATCGTGTGAAAACGAAATGAAGATTATCGCATTTCGACCTGCTCATTGTCGTAACAAAATCTTGAAATTATGAGAGGAAAACTAATAAGACATCAATAATCTGTTCTCTACTTCTAAGGGTTCGTAAAGCACTGTTTTTTGTATCATTTTACTTATCTGTATTTTCTGTATTGGTGACTAGTGCAGTGACTAAAATTTACCTAACACTTATAACACTTTTATATGTATTACATTCTTCAATGAGGATTTCAATAAAGTTTCATGTGTGAATTTTCAATTTGTTTATTCATTGTTTAGATCAAAATAAAACATCATTGTTCGAAATAAAAATATTGGCACAATTGTTTTTACTAAATTAAGGGAAGTGCGCATGTTCCTACTCCTGAATAAAGACGTAATAATTTGAACGCTCCCTATTGTTTGACTCGTTCGGAGAGAGATATCACTCAGAGATGAATGTGCGTATCAAGAAATATCAATGTTTCTCTCTATTATTTAATATGATTGAAATAGTATATATAATGTAAATGAAGATTTATGAGCTCTCACACGTTTGGCGCATCAAAAAAGAGTTTGTCGAAATATGCAAAAATTTCTATTCTAAGACCATACAAATCTAGCCCATACAACTATTTTTTCATATTCTAGTTTAAAATGCTCTCATTTCTTTCGTGTCAAGAATGGAGCTCTATACCTACGTATGTTCTACGGAAAATTTCACTTGCAAAAAATTTCAAATTGTTCTACAGACTCATGTTTTTCTGCATTAGTCAGAACTTGTGTTACCTTCTTCAAAATCAGTATTATTATAAATATCATTTTGACTTTGGCTCACTGGCATTCTCACTCTGAGAATATGAGTTGAGTTACTGCCCAGTTTCTTGCGTTCTAACATTATGCTGGGTGACGAAACATTTATCAACTTTTTCGTTACCAGGGCCCTGTAATTCTTGTACTTTTCTGCCGGAAATTCGCAGAATTTCGCAGAAGAAACGCGCAGCATTGAGTAACTTCCCCTCTACTCCGTAGCGAGAAAGTAAAAAGGCAAAAACACAAAATGAATTGAGATAAATTCAATACCGGTGTAGGACTACAGTTTTTAAGTATTGATCAGTATTACTATTCGTATGTATTCTAAACACGAACTAGAGGTGCTAAAACAGCACGTACTTTCTCGCCCTTCACGTAAAATTACGCGAAAAGTACTCAAATTTTCGAAAAATTGTACATGACTTTATTACAAAAATATCTTCAATGGGGAGATGTCATAAGGGGAAAAAAGTCTATTTTGAATATTTTAGTTCTAGGAAGATTCGGGGGAAAAATTGAATTTTTGAATTTTTCAAAATATCAGGGGTATTAACGAAAATAAGACCTCGTAAAATTGAAGTTGTTATTGTGTTTGTCGTTTAGTCCGTTAACTTCGCGATATTTACGTAGTGACAATATCCTCGTTCTACGAATGTGTTGGTGTTACATCAAGTGTATGAGCAGCCGGGGCAGCGGCTGCCCTGGCAAAGAATGGAGCTGTCGGACATCAGGGCTCCTATTACCTCACTAACCTCATCTCAGGTATCTACACTTCACCAAAGTATTAAAACTTACGCCAATGCTATGTCGACAGAAGTCTTTCCTACCGAGGTCCAGGCTATAATTATCGACGCACAAGAAGGTCTTACTATTAAATATTATAATAACAGTCTATCCAAGATTATCGATGCCAGTGATGTAAGGTTCATATC